GTAACCATTAGAAGGGTTAACTACCACAATCTAATCTTGTCATGAGTAAAGAGAATTGTGTCTCATACCTAACTGGATATGTTTAAACCAATATGGTCTGCATAATAAGATAGCTTTGAGGATAAAGCTTTCGTAAGTTTAGTACCTCTTTATTATTTGATTTTAAGATCTTTGGAACTACATGTAAGACTTACATCTTAAAGTATTTGGGACTGAAAGCAAGCGAATCACATCCTTAGTTTTAGTTGGTTTAGAAAATAGTTAACATGAGAGATATCATCAAGTTTGCATTTATTAAATTGACTGAAATTCTGTAGTGTACCTCAGAGCTTTGTCTAACTCAGTGTTAAGTGGAAATGAGAGGGTTCTGAATGTTACATAAAAAGGCACAGACACTCCACATTTGGTTTACCACCCCAAACAAACTGAGGGGTACAACACCATCCCATAAGTGAAAATTCTTGATTTTGTTGAGAGCCCGTTTAACATGTATTCTAACAGAAGCAATTTCTTGAGTCTTGATAACATCTTGTGCTATCATTTGGCTATTGGAACCTAAAAAGGGGGGAATGTTTAGGGTTACACCCAGTGGGAGTAGTTCTTCGATTGTAAAACCTTTATCGGCCATCACGGTGTCACCATTGTCAAACTCCAACTTCAGGAAACCACTTTGTTCAACAATTTCACGATTGGAAATGCTTCCACTATATAGCTGACTGATAAAAGTTATAGCTCCACTTGGAGCAATTCCAACTAAGCCTTTTAGAGTTACATGGTTCTTATAGGAGCTGAACAGTTTGGAATTCAACAGAAGGCTGGAAGGCATTTGGCATCTTATTTCCGTACAATCGATTATTACACGGGTGGAAGAGTACTTCTCTTTAAAGCTGTCATGCATTGTAACTCTTATGACCTCCCTATTAGGCCATATAGATACTTGACCAGATCTTAAATACATATAATTAATCCAAGAGAGGAATGTTCTGCTTACTGTCGATTGTGAAATACCAAACAAGTGTGCCAGATGTCTTTCTGAAAATCCTCTTCTCAGTCTGCACAGAACAAGGAAGAACTTCTCGCTGGGTTCTAAGCTCTTTGTCTACCTATGCTAGTACATCCCTCTGGTTCCTCGTTTCCACCATCGTAAAACTCCTTTTGGACAGTTCTTTCTTTTGATGAACAGTACCTGATGTTTTCTCCTTTCGATCCAGTATTTAAAAATTCAAACACAGCATTTAATGTTGCTAAGTTAGGAAATCCAGTATAAAAGGCAATGTCCTCGTCGGTAGTAAAATTGCGTGGTTGAAAAAGGCGGGAATCTTTAAGATTCAACTGGCGTTTTAATACCTCTACGAAAAATCTCATCAAATCTGTAATTAATCGAAAATATTTCGTAGAATTAAACAAATTGATTGATAGAGACCAAAAATCATGGCTTGGTTGCGCTTGAAAGATGTTTCGCAAGATGGTCGCATTTTTTGCATATTGCATCATAATTAAGTACTAGTTTTCAAATTAACGCAATCCGCCTCGAATGAATCCCGCCCTCCTTCGGGACTCGATGAAGACTTTGTGGAAGCAGTTGATAGAGATTTTCAGTGCTTGATATGTCATCTACCACTTAAGGAACCAGTTCAAAAGAGATGTGGCCACAGATACTGTAAAGGATGCCTCGACGAGCATTTTAGAGGTTATCAATAAACGATTAACACCTTTCGATATTAATCTTCACTGGCTCATTTAACCCTTACGCTGGAAGTGTAGGTCTACTAAGAAAGAAGATAAAAATCTGTTTCATGTTCATACACATCAGTTGCATTGGTAATGGCGGCTGTGAACATTTGATAAATGACTCAGCTTCATTTAATGGCAATGCGCTGCCTTAGTTTCAAGCTTTTCACAAACTATATATGCTTTCGCTTAAACGTGTCCTTACCAAAATACATCTCAATCCGTATTCATTGCTGCGACTGTCTTCCGAACTATCATCTCCAAAGAGTCCAATATTTAATTCTTATTAACCGAGCGGGAGGTCTGTATGGGAGAATCTTGACCGATGTCGCCAGTACAGACCGAACGCAGTGAAGTCTGTACCAGCGGCCGAGGTCAAGATTCTCCCATACAGACCGACCTAGCTCGGTTAATAAGATGTTTATTATATGGCTATGTCTTATATGCCAAATTTTTATATTCTTTGTACCTTTTTTTTCAAGACCGGTCTAGATACCGGTCTAGATGGGAAAATCTAGACCGCTCTCAATAGTGATTTCAGCTAATCAAATTCATGAATTCGGTTGTTCCCAGTCCTTGTGAGACACAGCCATACAATAATTTGGAATATAAAGCGGAAGTCAAATAATTTGATCTTGCATGAAATAGTGTTTGCTCTCATTTTGATTTGCTTCAAGGTGAAACCTGATCATATATCGTCTACTCTGAACATGATCAAATTAGTTCAAAAATCAAACACTTGCAGTACATGCAAAAACTTACAAACAAACAAGATCTCTGAATTCACTGACATGTTAAAGCTTATTAAATTTTTTTTGACAGGCGGCGACGGCAAGGAAAGTCCTTAACTTGTCCGTCGGACGGACAGAATACGGACCCAGACATGGTAATTAATATATTTAACTTCTTAAACTTTATGACTACTTTGCTTGTTGAGATGTTTTCCATTGAATTGGAATACGCTAATAAGTTCTCTCGAAACAGGCTTAAATATTTCAAGTATTAAACAAGTTTTTAACTTTTTTAATTTTTGTAATGTACATTTTACTTGACTTGTAAATATACCTCATAGATATTTTTTGCGTATCCCTTTTTTCGAATATAATCTCAAGACACTTATGTTTGTAGTCCCTGATTAACAGAAAACATGAGATTCTAGACGCGAGAACTTATACTTATCCCCATGAAGTTGATAATCTCTTGAAGAAAACAAATTATTTGTTTAATAAAACAAACTGAGCTCCTCATTATCACCCATTACTTTTATTTCACTTAAAACGTTAGGACTTGACCGATTTGAAGGCTGGTGGCATAGGTATAAAGTGATGTAATGATCTTGTTTTAGAACATTTTCCTTGATAAAGCAACAGAAAGAAAGATTCCCTTTCTTGCAATGTCCAAATGATGGCTGTGAATGGGCTGAGGAACTGAGGGACAAGGAGGTATAAACTAACGCGTATCTGATATAGCTGAATGAAGACCCTCATCAGCATACTGCTCCTTTAAATTACTGTGGCTCCTATATGTAGAAGAATAGACGTAGTGTCAGTGAGATTAATAATCCCTAGCTATGAAACAGAACAGATAACTTTAAGCCAATAAATCTTAAATGCTTTGTTATTTTTTATCTTTGAAAAGGTCCACTTCCGATCGNAAGTTTACATTTATTAAATTGACTGAAATTCTGTAGTGTACCTCAGAGCTCTGTCTAACTCAGTGTTAAGTGGAAATGAGAGGGTCCTGAATGTTACATAAAAAGGCACAGACACTCCACATTTGGTTTACTACCCCAAACAAACTGAGGGGTACAACACTATCCCATAAGTGAAAATTCTTGATTTTGTTGATAGCCCGTTCAACATGTATTCTAACAGAAGCAATTTCTTGAGTCTTGATAACATCTTGTGCTGTCATTTGGCTATTGGAACCTAAAAAGGGGGGAATGTTTAGGGTTACACCCAGTGGGAGTAGGTCTTCAATTGTAAAACCTTTATCGGCCATCACGGTGTCACCATTGTCAAACTTCAACTTCAGGAAACCACTTCGTTCAACAATTTCACGATCGGAAATGCTTCCACTATATAGCTGACTGATAAAAGTTATAGCTCCACTGGGAGCAATTCCAACTAAGCCTTTTAGAGTTACATGGTTCTTATAGGAGCTGAACAGTTTGGAATTCAACAGAAGGCTGGAAGGCATTTGGCATCTTATTTCCGTACAATCGATTATTACACGGGTGGAAGAGTACTTCTCTTTAAAGCTGTCATGCATTGTAGCTCTTATGACCTCCCTATTAGGCCATATAGATACTTGACCAAATTTTAAATACATATAATTAATCCAAGAAAGGAATGTTCTGCTTACTGTCGATTGTGAAATACCAAACAAGTGAGCCAGATGTTTTTCTGAAAATCCTCTTCTCAGTCTGCACAGAACAAGGAAGAACTCCTCTCTGGGTTCTAAGCTTCTTCGTCTACCTATGCTAGTACATCCCTCTGGTTCCTCGTTTCCACCATCGTAAAACTCCTTTTGGACAGTTCTTTCTTTTGATGAACAGTACCTGATGTTTTCTCCTTTCGATCCAGTATTTAAAAATTCAAACACAGCATTAAATGTTGCTAAGTTAGGAAATCCAGTATAAAAGGCAATGTCCTCGTCGGTAGTAAAATTGCGTGGTTGAAAAAGGCGGGAATCTTTAAGATTCAACTGGCGTTTTAATACCTCTATTTCAGCCTTTAACTTCGCATTTTCGAGTTCAAAACCTCGAATACTTACAAGTTCTTTAACTTCACCTGTTTGATCTCCACACGAATTTAAGCTGCTTTCCACATCAGGATAACTAATAGCTGCCGATGAAGTACAGGTTTCAAAAGTTGCTTTAGCTGCATTTGCAGTTGTTTGACTTTGACTTTGAGATTGTTGCAACTCCTTGTTTGAACACCCTGTTATAGAAGAAATATTGCGACATTTAGGAGGTGCTCTCTTTTTCGGAGAACCTGCTTTGGACCACGAAAATCGAGATGGAATTACCCCTGCCTTCACATAACACGCTGACCTCCAACAGCTTTAGCCAAGTCCTCGGGCTTAAAAATGACGAGAACAGATCTTCGTGTTTTCGCTGACTCTAAACTCTTTTCCTTCCTCTCGACGAATGGCATGGAGCCAACGCTTTTTGAGGATAGTGTCCTCCGGAAATTTAAAGTAAGAAATTTTCTCCCCACTTTCGGTTCTGTACTTCTTTTTGGTAGAGTTTGGCACGCAACAGTTTTGCGGCATTTTCAAAAACTGGCGCTCTTCACATCAGGCGGCCATTTTTATTTACTTGGCCCAACTAGCCTCGTTTTCAAGTTAAACGCTCCCAGTCTCTTTTCCTTCTGCATAGGGTGTATGGTATACGAGAAGTTGGGTAACCCGAAAACACTGACCCCCAGTCCATGGACCCCCTACGGACCTGGTCCACGGACCCCTGTACGGACCGGTCCACGGACTCTCTACGGACCCCCCTTTATGGACCCCTCAGGAAAAGACAATAATAACAACAACAACTTGTAGAGATGTGACTTACCCGCTTATGTTCGCGGTGGCGAAATTTTGAATGTTAATATTCCATATATCAGCGTGGCAATAAAAGAAAGAAAAAAATCGACTAAAAAGTAAAAAAAAAAGGAAGGAAAAGACTGATAACTTAGCTAACTTGTGTATTTATATCCTTTGCTGTCACCGATTGCCTCCGCGATTTTGTTCGGCTCAATTCCCCGCGTGTTCATTGACTCGACCCAGGCTTCACAAAATAGTGCTCCTTCGACAAATAAAGATGTCCATGTTCATTAGATGTTAGACGGATTAGAGATCGTAATATTTGACAATTATGTGTTTAGTTGCCAAATCTTTCAGCAGGGCGACTTTTATTCAATGAATCATGGACAAGGGAAAATATCGCGCAGCTTTCGAAACGCCAGGTCACCTTCAGACTTACTCCTGTTCAAAGGCTTGGCAACTAACAATCAAAATTTCGTCACCGCGAACAAAAAAAAAAGGTATATGTGCACGATCCTTCGTAGTAAAGCACTATTTAAGCAATAGTGAAAATAGTATCGCACTAGTATCGCAGAGGTCAGTGGTTCGAATCCCGTAC